ACCATTCCTTTAGCCAAAATACTGAGAAACTCAGTGGGATCAGATTCTCCAGGCTTGGCTTACGTGTTTACTGTCCCAGCCTGAGTCCGCCATTTCTCGGAGAAGTCCTGAGCGCATGTGAGCCTAACCCCTCCTGTTCCAAAACCAGCAGGCTGTTGGCTTCTGTTATTGTGTATTTGTACATTAATTTAGGTCCTTCCACTTCTGGCCATAAATGAGTAACGTCAGGGAACTTGCCATAAACCATTAAAAGCTGGTTAGGATATAGGACACAGCTGTTTTCAGACACCGGGGCAGTGGGCAGTGCAGGGCCTTGGTCTCGGAGAGAAGGAAGCAGGCGTGGTGAGCCCCCTCGTCTGGAGGCAGGAGGGGTTCCGAGCAGCTCAGGATGACCGGACCATGTTAGGGGATGGGGTTAGGTTTCTGGGAGGCTGAAGGGGCTGGAATGGCAGGAGATGGGGCTGGAGACAGGGAGCCATGTCAAGAAAGAGCTCCCGAGGTGTGGAGAGCTGAACCTGTACGTGCCTGGTGTGAAGAGTCCAGGCCATGCCCAGAAGAGCTGCGGGACAGTTCCAAGCCGAACAGCTCCCAGAGTTTACACAGGCCTGAGCCGCCTTCTCATTCCATCCGGCCAGCCTAGAGACGCTTCTGAGCATCTGTGACGAGGAGAGACCCCAGAATGGGATGCTCCAGACCCTGACTAACAAAGCTTAAACATAGCTCTCCAGAGAATCCCACGGATCTACAAGGAACAACGTGCCTGCCAGAGTAAACATCAGTACTCTTTAAAGAGTAAGGGGCGCCTGGGTGCCTCCGATGGTGAAGCGTCTGCCCTCAGCTCAGGTCATGATCCCTAAGTCCTGGGATCGAGCCCCGTGTTGGGCTCCCTGCTCAGTGGGGAGCCTGCTTCTTCCTCTCCCTCTGCCACTCCTCCCCATTCATGCTCTCTCTCCCTTTTGCTTGCTCTCTCTCAAATAAATAAACAAAATCTTTTAAAAAAGTAAGAGAGTAAAATTAAACACTCAACAAGGGAAATTCATGACATCCAGCATCTAGTAAAAATTACTCTGTCATGCGTGAAGGAGCAGCCTTAATGTGTCAGTCCTGATGCCATTTGTCCTGCTTGACCCTCCTGGCGGAAGGGAACGCACTGACTTCCAGAAGCTCCCAGCTCTGTCCTTTGCATGCCTGCCGGCCCCTACCAGCCTCGCGCCTGCCTGCAGTCCAGGGCCAAGGCTCTTTGAGTGTGTGAGCACACAGAGGAGCAGAAGACAGAAGGGGAGTGGGTTTTTTAAAGCATTTAGTATTTTAATGGCATATTACAGAAGCTATTTAACCATATAATCCAAATCCTTTTTCTTCCAAAGTAATGCAGATATAGCAACATTGAAAAGACATACTCGCAAAAGGCAAGTTTTTGTTCTATAGTTTGCAGAGTAACATAAAATATTCAAATGTTTTTGAAAATACTCAAAATGTTTTTGTTCCAAAGTTTGCGGAGTAACATAAAATATTCATTAAAATAGAAGCTGTCCAGACAGCAGAGTATTATTCAGTCCTAAAAAGAAACAAGCTACAAAGACCTGGAGGAACCCGACACACGTGTTCCTAAGTGACAGAAGCCAGCGTGAGCCGGCACTGGACTAGGATTCCAGCCATAGGGCATTCCGGAAAAGGCAGGACTGCGGGGACAGTAAAGATGGGGGGGTGCCAGGGGCGGAGGGCAGGGATGCAGAGGCAGAGCACAGGGGCTTTTCGGGCAGTGGGTACTCTGTGATGCCATAATGGAGGATACGTGTCCGTGTAGACCCATCCGAACCATGGAATGTACACCACCAGGAGTGAGCCCAGACGTGAGCTGTGGATGTGTCGATGTAGATCCATCAGCTGTGACAGACGCTTCATCCGAGGGGACATCAGTGTGGGGGCAGGGCGTGGCGGAAATCTCCTAATTCCGTTTAATTTTATTGTGAACCTAAAACTGCTCTGAACAGTCAAGTTTTCATGAGAAACCGAAACTGTCAAAGGAATAGGATCCCACAACCAGAGACACCTTTCCCTTGCACGCTTCCTTTCTCTATTCAACCAAGAAAATCTTAATATAAATCTAGCAAGACTGGTTAAGAGTAAATTTTGGATTAAGATTAACTACTGAACTTTGTATTTTATGTTTGGTCCAGCCTTTCTGCACATGATGTCAAACAGAGCAGATGGGGCTTTGGACACAGAGCTTGTCACTGACTACCCAGAGCCCTTACGACGGGCAACAACCACCTGCCAGGTCACAGGGAGTGGGGAGTGCCGTGGGACACTTGGTCAGCGTGTGGGTGATATTCTCAGACCTCCAGTGATGATGATAAATTTAGAAAAAGATAGAGCCAAACTTCTTTGCTCTCAGCAATATTTAGGTGGTCCAGACTTTCTGGCAGTGTTAAAGGTTATCCAGTTAACGACCCTTTAGGGCCAGGTTATAATATGGCCCTAAAGTTCTTTGAATAATGTATTTATTTTCAAGATTCTGTCGTCTGGCTGGGCAGGGGCAGAGAAGGATGCCGGCTCGCAGACAAGCTAACGGAATTGCCCACCAGCATTTAGGATATCTCCGCCCAGTCAGGCCTGTGTCTGGCCACCTTTGGCCCCCACAGTCGCTGCACCCTCGATTTGCAGGGTTTCCTTCAGCTGCAAGTGTTTGGTTTGAGCCAGGGTGTGGAGCGTTCACGTACGCGGAGCCGAATGCCAGGCAGTTACTTGGCAGTGCCTTCCAGGCCATCCCGTCACCCCATGTTGGCGCTCACCATGCAGACTGGAGTTTCAGCAGATGGTCCTGTTCCCTCACTGCCAGAAAGACCCCCTCACTTGTCCGGCTTGCTCGTCTGCTGCAGGCGGGGCCCTGCCTTAACTCTCGACTCTCTTTAAGGAGAAGCTGTCACTGGGCTCTCCTTTCCTGCACCATTGGGTGAGGTGCTCCGAAACGCTCAGCAGTGCCAGCCTGCAAGGCCGGTGGAGGAAGAGGATGGCCAGGGAATTCACGCAGCTCTCCCCAAACAGGCCCAGCTCTGCCAGGCTCATGAGGAGCTCATCCCTGGGGGAGCCGATGTCCCTCTGCAGCTTCAGCCGGGCCCGTTGCAGGAGTGCAATGTTGTAGAGGAGGCGGCAGGCAAACGTGGTCAGGGCCGTGGCCAGCACGACTCGGGGAGCGGAGGCCGCATCCCTCTGGGGGAGGGCCGCTCGCCAGGCCAGCTGGACAATGAGCAGGATGAAGAACACCAGCTTCAGGACCAGGGCCAGCCCGAAGCCCAGGCTGACCTTGACGATTTCATACTCGGGCCAGGCGGTCAGCGGGTCCACCTGGCACAGGGTGCTTCTGGACAGCTCCCCAGATGTGCCCAGCAGGGCTGCCAGTCCCAGGGAGCTGCAGAAGGCGCAGCCCCCAATGACAGCCAGGCTCTCCACGGGCCTCTGGGCCGCCTTGGTGGCCGTGCGCAGGCAGGGCGCGGAGCCTTGCAGCAGGAACGCAAAGAGCATCACTAGCTGCACGTACTGCCCGTTGAAGTAGCAGACGTTGGCCAGGAAGGAGAGGACGGCACAGCCCAGGTTGGTGGTGACCATGTAGTCTGGCCGGCTGATGGTGGTGAGGGAGAGCAGCGTCACCAGCACGTGGGTGACCGTGAGGTCTGAGAGGAATGCGTCCAGGCCCCCCCGCCTGGCACGGCCCTTGATGAAGGTGGTCAGGTTGAAGAGCCCAGCCGCCAAGCTCACCGGGACACACAGGGCCATGTAGACGTACAGGCACCTAGAGACGATGCTCTGCGCAGTGATGACGTCTTCAACTGCCGTGGAGACGTGGCTCGGGTACCGGACCCACGACATGTTGTGGGAGCTCGTCCCGGCCATGTCTGAGCTGCAACAGAAGCATACGGCGCTGTTACTGGCTGTCACCATGGGGTCACGCTAAGGGCAAGAGGGGCTGCCCCGGGGGGAGGGAGCCTGTGCCTGAAGGAGGGCCTCCCACGGAGGTGGGTGGGTACGGGGACTGCCGTGACAGCCAGCTTCCCTGCGTGGGCGTTCTGGAGCAAATTCAAGCCGGGGCCTGCTGGAGCAGGGGCCTGGGCCCCCCTCTGCCTCGCCTCCCCCCACAGCAGAAGGACCTTACTGCTCATAAGAGAGACGCCTTCTTGGAACGAGGTCACGTCTTGGTCCCGCCCCTAAGGCCTGTGCGCCAGGGGTCCTGATCTCCCCACGTTGGGGGTCAGCGAAAGATTGCTGGGGCGTGGAGTTCCAGGCCCCGGATTGGAGCCCCTCCAGGGCCTCGTGCTCACTCCAGTCAGGGCCTCTGCCTCAGGGAGGGAACGGCCCGAGTCCGCATCGTTCTAAGACGTGTGTGCATGCAGCCGTCCAGCTTCTGGACCCAGAGGAGTTCTGATGGACTCTGGCCTGAGGGGACCGCACTCCGTAGTGCTGACTCTGGAGACGGGAAGGTGACGGTGTGTGGACGCTGGCCCCCCGAGGACCTCAGCGCCAGGAGGTCCTTGAGCCGAGCTGTAAAGTCCTGACTTGGGGCTTTAAATTGCAGTGCTGACAGACTCACAGCCTTCCTGGCTGGTCTTTTGTCACCGAAATTGTTTCATTTCTGTATACACGTATCCTCCCCCCTAAATTTTAACCAAATAGCAGATGAGGCTGGGAGAGAGCGTAGCTACTCATTCAAAGGAGGGTGAAGGAATAAAATTGGAAAGTTCCTGTTCATGGAATGCTCACGGTGGGCCTGGCCCCACAGCCAGCTTTCACGCTCTGCGCGGGGGCGGCTGGGGTCCCGGCTGGCAGAGTCACACAGTGACTCGTGACCACACAAGCAGCGTGGACTTCCGAAGGAGAGAGCCCAAGTGAATGGCCTTTCTTCCTGACCACACACGTCCAGCGCTGTCTCAGTGGCAGACTTTGCATTTGGAAGCCTCTGTTACACACGGGTTGTCTGACACGCTGCATCCTTGCGTACGTAGATGTGTCCTTGGCCTTTCTCACTGCTTCCTGGATGTGCCCAGTGCCCAGATGCAGATGCACGTCCTCATCTGACCGACAGCCATGGGGTGCACCGAGTGGAGGTGGGCTAGTGTGTGTCTGCCTCGGTGTGCTTGCTTGCTTTGTCTCGTCAGTAGCTCTCCCTGCGGACTGACTCTGCTCTCCGTCCCACAGGCCTGCAGAGGTGACTTGAACGCACACATTTCTCCAGGTACGTGTCTGGCTGGCTTCGTCTGAGAGACACACGGAATTGTGCTGTTTTCCATCTGCTGCTGCTGAAGGTGATGAGTAATTGCCAGGACACTGAGTGACTTCAAAATTAAGAATAGTGACCCGACTGAGAGGAAGTGATTTGGAATGTTAATCTTTAATTGAGGCAAACTGGAAGGAAGATCTTGTGAACACTGACCACAGGTCAGGAAACAGCATTAGGGCTGTGCCGGCGTCCGATCCCTGCCTCTGGCCAGTGTTCCAGGCACTTCCTGGGGCCAGCCGTACTCTCTCTGCGGGTGGTTTTGGGGGTGCTCGTTGTCAGAGGCCACCCTGCTTGTGGCAGTCGGCTCTGTGACCTGATTTGGTGGCCAGGCTCTGGGTCACCCAGCCAGGTGGACAGAGGGTATGTGTCCCCAAATCTGGCCTTGAGAGCACATCCCAGACTCGTCAGCTCGTTGACTGCTTCTTGCCTTGTCCTGTGCTTTTCTCCGGAGGCAAGGAGCCTCCTGGGGTGGGGGGAGCTCCAGCCTCACACTCTCATCCATCCGGTGTGTGAGTTGGCTGGTGAGAGGTCATGCCCTTGTGGGCCCACAGCCAGGAGTGGGTGTGCTGCCATCTGCACGCTGGGCTCCAGGGCAACCCCTTCCCAGGCAGGGGAACGTTCAAGGAAAGGAAGTCACCCAAGGATGGGCGGGGCGCACTGGCCCCCGGTGGCCCAGCAGCATACTAAGTGGGGTTCTGCTCCCTCCCCTGGATTTAACGCAGGTGTGTGGGCTCTGATCCTTTTGCCCCAGGGCTGTGTGGGCAAAGGGTGGAACTCTAGCACCTTATTATGCCTTCAGGATTGGGCCCAGGAGGGAGGTGTCCCAGCAGGTGAGACCTGGCGCACCTCCGAATCCCTGGCCTTGCTGAGGCCAGCCTGGGAAGGGTTGGTGGGCTCTCGGTGTTGCCCCCTTCTGGGCCCAAGGAGCACGGAACCTCCTCCCAGCACGCCTGCGCTGCGGCCACGCACGCCACCCACTGCGTCTCTGGGCTGAGCCTTCTCAGGGGCCGGGCTGTCCACCAGCATTCCCTCACCACCACTTTTGGGTTTTATTCGGAAAGAGAATAAAACACGTAAGACATCGTCTCATGAAATTGTCCGTGATGACCGCTCTTCCGCCCAAACTCCCACCCACATCCCTGATTCTCTCGTGTCTCTTGTCTGTCTTACGGCTTCTCTTTGGCCTTGACAGTCCTCCCCCTCCCGCCCCAGCCCCTGCGGCTTACCCTGCAAAGGGGCGCACGGGGGGCAGGGCTCGCGGAAGTCAGGGCCTTCGCCGGCAAGCTGGGTGTTCACCACCTGCTGCCGCTGTTGGAAGCATTTTACACAGAATAATTTCCTCAAACTGTCCAGTTTTCCACAGGAGGTAGGGACCGTTGAAATCCCACTCTGTGGTGGACGTGAGCACATCACAGAGCAAGGGAGTCATTCGTTCAGGTAGCTGGTAGTAGCGATGACATCAAGATGGGAGCCTGACGGTTTGGCCCAAGAACCTGTACATTTTTTTTTCCAAAGATTTTATTTATTTATTTGACAGAGGGAGAGAGAGCACAAGTAGGCAGAGAGAGAGGGAGAAGCAGATTCTCCACCGAGCAGGGAGCCCGACGCGGGGCTCGATCCCAGGATCCCGGGATCGTGACCTGAGCCGAAGGCAGACGCTTCACGACTGAGCCACCCAGGCGCCCCAGAACCTGTGCATTTTAAAAATCTACATGCGATGAAAGTGACTCTTCTTGGCGTATACTGCAAACACCACCACGCAGCGCACGGACGGTCCCATCACCCACTGAATTCCTCTGTGCCATTTCTTGGTGCTCAGCCCGCCCCTGAGCCACATCGGGCAACCCCCGCACCATCCCTCTCGTTCGGACTCTCGTGGGATGTCATGGGAATGGAACCCACACGTGTGGCGCCTTTCGCGTCTGGCACGTTTCGCCTCGGCGGACGGTGTCCGAGACTCCCCCGTGGTGCACGGGTCGCTGAGTCGTACCCCAGCCGTGCGTCTGCCGTTCCCCTGGCATGTGGCTCTTTCCAGGCTTGGGCTCTTACAAATACAGCTGCTTTAAGTATTCGGGCACAGGGTTTGTACGTGAACGTGCGGTTCTGCAGGCGAGCATGATACTGTTTCCTTGGGTGAGCACTTACGAGTGGGATTGCTAGGCCTTGTTTTTGAAAATGGCATGTGGTACATTTGACATGTGACGTGTTATAAACGTACAGCGTGCAGCGTGCGACTTTGGTACATTCATGCACTGATGATCGGCCGATGTGAGACTGTCTGTGTTCATCAGCTGTGCAGCAGGTCCCTGGCTTAGTCACTTGTGTTTCTCATCTGTGCCCTCGTCTGACCCCGTCCCACCCTTTCACTGGCTCGTTTTTGGTTTTTAAGATTTATTTATGTATTTCAGAGAGAGAAAGAGCATGCGAGCGTGGGAGGGGCAGAGGGAGAAGGAGAGAGAGTCTCATGCGGACTCCACACTGAGTGTGGCGCGAGCCCGACACGAGGCTCAATCTCACGACCCTGAGATCATGACCTGAGCCGAAACCAAGAGTCGGATGCTTAGCCGACTGCGCCCCCCAGGCGCCCTGGTCTGTTTTTTAATAGGTTTAACTTCTCTCGATGGATAGAAGTGGATATGTGATGTCCTACAGGACTCGTCCTCCTCTGTCGTTGAGGAGCATGGCGCACTGCGAGCCCGTGTGTGCTGCCCGGAAGGGCAGTGTGTCCTCCCTCCCGGCCGGATGCCGTCCTGCTGTGTGTGTGCTGCACCGTCTCGATCCGCTCGGCTGCTGATGGGCGCTGGGCTTGCTTCTGTGAGTGTGTGTCTCACTTGATGCGAAGCTGCCAGTGTTTGCCTGAGAGCCTGTGATGTTTTGCATCCCTGCCAGAGCCTACACTTTCCAGCACGGGTGTTAGCTGAGGCCCCAAATTCCCCTGGAAGACAGGCTGACCCTCTGAGGCAGACCCCTGCCTTGTTCTGGTGCCAGTTTCGGGCCGAGAACCAGGGTTTCGGGGGCCCTTTTCTGAGTCACATGAAAGGGCTGCAGGGTCCAGCTCTGGGGTCCCCTGGGAGCGCTCCAAGGCCAGAGCCTTGAGAATTTTGTGTTCTTTACAGCAGCTTGTGGCTGTAGCTCCTTAAATAGGCTTTCAGAATGGGAGGAGCGAGCGGGGCGGCTTCCAGTGGGTTTGCGCTCCCTCGGTCCCCCCACGGGCCCTGGGTGGCGGTCCAGCTTTTGCTCCACGGGGCCTTCTTCCAGCAGCCACTCCTCACGCGTACGTTGTTACGGGCCTGCATTTACGTCCCAGGGAGCTCTGCTCAGGGCACTGGGCACCTGGATTGTTCGGTGTTTTCCCTGCGTCCACATGGCCCTTCTTGTCACCCCTGTGGATGAGTAACGACTCGAGTGCTGGGACCCCACTGCGGATGCTTACGGTGTCTCTGAATTTTTGCTGTCCTTCTTTGCTGGGTCCTTTCCAGGTCTGTGCTCATTTCACATGTGATCCCAGAAAGGCTCACAGACTGTTTCTATATGGAAAGAGCATAAGCCTCTGAGGTCAGGAGTCTGCTCAGTGACTGTGCCGTGTCCTCAGCCTGGCTGGCGTGACCTTCTGCCAGGGTCTCCGAGCGCACCCTGTCCCTGTGGCCCCATCGGTCTCAGATGTGAACCTCTGGGCAGTCGTCATCTGGGGTCCCGTCATCCACAAGCTCTGGCTTGTTTCTCCACCACCAGCTCCTAATGTTGCAGGCGCGTGAGAATGTGGTAGGTGCGCTCCGTGCTCCATGTTAATCTAGTGAGTTATAGGACCGAGTGCCGGGAAGGTAAACTGCTTTTTGTCCCTGCCCCTTGGGAGGATTCCTTCCTACTCTGTCCCAAGGCATCAGCCCCTTTCCCTCTTGGCCAGCCCCTCCCTCTCCTGCTCCCCCTGGCAGGACTTGGCTTTTGTAGCGCCTTCTGGGCTTGGCTGCGTAAATGTTTCCATTCCAGCCCCGTCTTCTGTGCTCCCTGCAGACGGGGAGCCGTTGGGCCTCATGAGTCACTCTTCAGCCCATACATGGCCAGGCCCTGTGCTGTCCAGCCCACCAGCTTTACGGTGGTGCAGGGTGGAGGGCACGAGCTTTCGTGGACACTGGGCATAGGGGGCCACCCAAGACTCAGACCCAGATGGCGTGTGGGAGGCGGCCCCAGCCTCCCATCTCTGGCCCCCACCTGGGGACTGGGAAGGGAGCGTGACCGGCTGTGTGGCCCTGCTTACCCATACTGCTTCTGTGGGGACCCCGTACCGGGCGTCTGCCTCCTCTCCTTCCTGGGCGTGAATTCCTGAACCATTCTGAATGTCTTCTATGGGCTTTGGGGAAAATAACCTCCCCGAAGTGTAAAGATTAAAAGGTTTCCACTTTGCTCCTTTGGTGTCTTCCGAGACCTCCTCTGTCTCTCCTGGACACACTCAGGCGCACGCGTGTGCACACACATACCTCTAGGAGAGACAGCTCCTCCCTGTCCGACCTGGTGCTGGGGCACCTGCTCCTCGCACGGTGGACGTCCCTGCCTGGACAGAGGACCCTGCCTCGCCGCCATCCCCGCAGCTTTCGTGGACACGTCTTGTGTCCCTGCGTAAGCAGGAGGCCAGAGCACAGCTGTGGAAGGCTTGCCCCTGTGAGGGCAGGCAGAGCCCCGGGCTTCTGAGCCCCCACGGGCTCTTCCTCTGACCCTGAGCACACTCCCCCGTGTCCCCTTGCTGCTCAGCAGCCGTTCAGAGACACCGTGAGAGTCCCTTGTCTGTACTCAAGGCCCTTCTTTTCAGCTCGCCTGTGAGAAGCTTCCCAATGGTCTGGACGGTTCTGAGGGCAGAAACGATGGGGGTCTCCTGGCCTAGGGGTGCCCGTTTGTGTCCACCCACAGCCCTGTCGTCCTTGGTGGTGGCCAGGACCTCCCGGTGCACTGGGAGCAGCCTCAACTCCCAGAGCTGAGCCTGAGAGAACCGTGCTTTGGCAAACTCACCCCTGGTTTAAAGATGCACCCTCCATCCACCCGTTCCCACACACTTACCGAGCACTCGTGAGGAGCCTGGCCCTGGCTGCCGGCTGCCACTGTCCTGTCCTCATGGGCCATCGGTGCCTTAGCTGGAGAACACCTGTAGCTGGCACCTGGCACGGGATGGGGCGAGCCAAACCGTGTGCCCCATGGAGCATCGCAGCAGAGGCGCCTGCTGTAGGGTTTGGGGGTGGGTGGGTGATCTGGAGGAGGGTCTGAGGAAGTGGACGCTGTCTGTCAGAAAGTGGGGGCTGTACCACGACCGGGGTCCTGCGTGGGCTTGCCTGAGGGTGGGTGTGGCGTCACTGGTAAAGAGGCGGAGCTCACGTTTGGACCAGACGGGAGGGTGTTGACGTTCTGTGGCCTTCCGCGGTCTGCTTCATGCCGGTCCCAGGACGGCATCTGACGCTGGCGCTCTGTGAGGGCCGTGGCACGCCGTACGGCCAGGCTGGCTGCCAGACCCTTGTTTCTGTCCTTCCCCACACGGCCCCTGCGGTGATGCCATGTCCTGCGCTCTGGACCGCAGCGCCTGGCGAGGGGTTGCTGTGGCCCTTCGGACCCCTCCCCCGGCGGTCTCTGCCCTGCCATCCCCAGCTCTTACGTCCAGCCCCGTCCTCTGCTGCCCTGACCTTCCTCGGGCCCCCGGCTGAGGGGCACGTGCAGGGCCCAGCCCTGTCCCCAGAGGTCCTGGAGGGCTCTGCTCCGTGGGCTTCCGTCATTGCCCTGTCCCAGCAGCAGGTGAACACCGCCCCTCTGTGCGGTGGACAGCCCAGCGTTTCACTCCATAGTGGTCTTGCACAAATTGATCAGCTCCTGGGTGTGTGTCAACAGCATGTCAGCCCCGAGCATCTTTGTGAAGATTCTGTCAGATGAGGGGGCACGTGGGGGTTCCACATACAGAGGGGATTCAGGTGGTCACGGAGAGCCAACTGAGCGTCACCGGAACACAAAGCCTGCCTTGTGCAGAAGGCTGGCTGCCCCTGCTTGCCTTGAAAACTTGAACCTTCCCTTCCTTTCTAGGCTCCACCCTCTGGGTGGAACACTGCCGGGTCTGGGCTTCCCGCCCCGCCCCGCCACGGTTGTGGAAAGAGGCCCCCCATTCCAGGCTTCGCGCCCCATGGAACATATACGTTCCAGATGTGCCCTGTGTAAGACGTTCACTGTACTCTGCCAGACCGAAAGCTCTCCACGTCTGTGCCCCAGGATGGAGACGCAGGGCGAGGAGTGCCCCTGGCAGCTTCGGTCGGCGCCCAGATGTGTGTGCTGACAGTCGATAATAAGCTGCTCTGACTCCGTCTTCTGGACACAGAACTAGAGCCACTATCAGTCTCTGCTTAGTGAGGAAGACCTGAGCAGTCCGCTCAGTCACTTCCAGGTCGAAATGCTAGGAAAATAAGTCTCATTTTAGTTTTTACTGGAGCCAGCCTATAGTTTAAAGGAGCCTTAGTTTTCAGAGAGAAATGGCGCTCAGCCGTGAAACCACCCGTCAGCCCGCGCTGTCTGCCAGTGCTTGGTCCCAGTAAGCCGGCGGGGGAGGGGGGCACCCAGAAGCAGGGAAAGAGAAGAAAGCCGGGAGGGCCGGCAGCTCACCTGTGCGGGGCCCCGGCGCGCCTCCTCCGTCTCCAGCCTGCACTCTCCTTCGGCTGCTCTGGGCTCGCTGGAAACGGCAGGCACAGACCGACAGTCCTGTAAGGAAGACGGGAATTCAGTCTTAAGTCACTGAAACCACACACGTTGCATTTTAAGGAGAGTGTGGCTTGGCCATGTGACCCAGAAACATTCACATCGGCCTACGTAGCGAGGTAGCCTCGTCTCGTAGACAGAAGAAGTAATGTGTGTGCCTGTGCCCCCGGTGTCTGTGGGCATCCAGCGGTTTTCCTGCAGACTCCACACACTGGCCCGTTCACAAAACGGTCCCTCCCAGAAAGTGTGCAACGTCTGCAACTTAAAATAGGACCTAAAACCCCACCCATAACATAGGGAAAAGTGCTCCCGACCTGTGTAGCCGGAGGGAAGTCCCCTGAAGCTTCCCCCTTAGTGTGCTCCGCTCCAGGGCCAGCATTGGTGCCACCCCGACCGGGCACTGCCCTCTGTCCCCTGACAGCAGGGTGGACGTCAGTGAGCCCGAGTCCTGAACACACTGTCCCGCAGACCTGTGCCTGGAGCCTCACTCGGGGTCAGGCAGAGTCAGGGCGCTGTTGCCTGCACGGGTCATCCACATCTGGTCACCCGCGCCCTGGCAAGGAGGCTGGGCACAGGGCAGGTAAGCATTTCGGAGGGAGGACAGGGTCCACACGGTCCTGAGCCTTGGGGGAGTCAGGAAGTGGCCTGGGAGCCCCCAAATTCCTGATGGAGAGGACCTGCCTAAAGGAAGCAAGGGCTCAGCAATAGATTTGGAGGCCTGTGTGCCTTCCCTGGCCGCTGTCCCCGGGCCAGCCCCAGCTGGAGACGCAACATGCAGAGCCTGCTTTACGCACCTGCGTCCCTTTTGCAGCTGGCCCTGCATAAGGTAGAGGAGCACTTGGAGGACGTTCTATGCAGCACGCAGCCCCCTGGGGTCACTGATGGCATCCACGGCCGCGTGAGCTCCAGGGAAAACCCACAGAGGCCCTAGGGAGGCAAAGAATGCCCCTGGGGGCCCCCTCGGTCGCTGAGCCCAGGCTGGGGTCAGAGACCATGTTTCATCTGAACATCTCTTACAACTTGGACCCCCCACATGGGTCCTACAGTGTTGTTGCTGATGAGCACCTGAGAGCAAGCCGGCCTGGGGCCTCTGTTCCCAGAGCCCCGGGTCCGAGCAACTGCTTGGGAGCTTGCTCAGGAGTGGGAAGCCTCATGGAGGCTTGAGGACGGCCCACAGGGGCTAATCTCCTCTAGAGGTGGGAGACCTGAGGCCTGGAGGGAGAGGCTGGGTCCCTGTCAATGTCACTGGCCTGCGTCCGCCTCTCGGCTCCCAGGGTTACCAGGTGCCTTGCTGTTAGACCCCTGTGGCCATCAGCCCCGCCTACGGGTACCCGCAGGGAAGGACCCAGCCTGGAGTCAGGCCCTGACAAGTGTGTGTGGCCAGCAGGGGAAGCAAGGTGCCCCGAGCTGCTGCGTGGCTGGCATGCCTCCCTCAGCCTGCTGGTGTCCAAGCCCTTGTGCACGACCCTGGCGAGCTCTCTGGGCTCTGAGTGTGAACGTGCAGCTGGTGACCGTGGGCCTCCCACCTTTCCTGTTGTGAATGGGTTTACAGAGCTGTGCCCGGTTGTTGGAAGGATGCCTCGGGGTGATGGAGCTGGTGGGTGGGCCTCATCGGGCTTGTCAGAAGCCTGGCTGGGCTACGTGGGGCCAGGGCACTGCCGCAGGGAGGGGTCCCTCCTGGGGACAGGAGGTGTGGTGGGAGCCCTGCTCCATGTGGATGGTGCTCATGTGTGGGCTCTGCTGGCATCATGGGGACGTTGCTCCCATAAGTGAAATCTGGGGCCGCCTTAGGCAGAGTGAGTCCCCAGGGAGCAGTAACCACGTCTGTCCTACGCTTTGGGGCATCCTGCCTCCTGCTCGCATGAGCTTGGGGCTTGGGGGTTTTGAGAGCCCCGATTTAGCGAAAGAAGCCTACCCTCTGGACTCTCCCAGCCTCGTGGGCAAATGTCTGAGCTACTGAAGAGCGACGGGCCCAGCTGGCCCAGCTGGCCTCTCCCTGCCCTGACCTCCTGCTCTTCTGTTAAGCTGAGAAAACCACACTGTCCTCCCCAGCTGCCTCCACTGGGAGGCCTGGTGTATGGTTTGGCTCCTTTCTGCAGCGTCCGAAACACGTTCCGTCTGCGCCGTAGCTGCTGCTGGCCGAGAGGCTGCGCGGCCGCCACGAGCTCGCACTGCCGGCAGCCAGTCCCTGGCCGGCGGGCCGCGAGAACCACCACAACACAGGAGCCTCCTGTTCTCGTGGGCACCTTGGCCGCTGGGCCGGCCCTCCGCGGGCAGAGGGGTGAAACACAGGGCAAACACAGCTGCTGAGAGAACCACCCGCGCTCATAGCCTGAATTCTGGTCCCGAGGGGAGGGGAGAGCCGGAGGCGTTGAGGTGGGGGTGGTGAGGGCAGGCCGGCTAGCTCCAGCCAGATGCAGTATTTATGCCAGTGCCGCGTGTGGTCATCTGAGGCTTAGATAAGCGGGCCCACCTGGATGTGTGAGGCCAGGGACCGTCGTAAAGGCAGGTTTCTGCCAGACGGCGTGAGCCGCACAAAGAGAGGGTCCCGCGTGGGTCTGACGTGGGCCGGCCTCTGCAGCCCAGCCCCACATCCAGCCTGGCCTGGATCCCTCTCCAGCCCACCGTCCATCTACCTTTCGGACATCCCAGCACCCTCCTCCCGAGGTGCCTCGAGGACTCGTCCCCACCTTCTGTCACATCCTGTCTTAGCATTTCCGTGGATCTGATTTACTCCCCGCTGGATTGTCTGAGCCCCGAGGCTGCATGCTCTGAATCAGGGTTGGGGTGCAGGAAGACATGGCTTCTGGGACGGAGGGCTGTGCCGCCTCATCTCCTGGCCCGCCCCATCCCTTGTGCGGCCCACGCTCCCTCAGTGCCAAGTGCAGACGCCAGCGAGGAGGTCGGAGTGTGTCGGATACTGGACATGAGCGAAAGCCTGAAAGAAGGTGTGCCCTTGACCCCACGCCCTCCCCTGCCCTCCCTCTGCCCCCAGAGCACAGGGCCTGCCTGGCAGCTGGGTGGGCTGTTCGACTCAAGTGGGCACTGGCAGCGGTCTGCCTGTGCCCGCAGCTCCTCCCGAGTTTCTGGCCCCGTGTTGAGAAGGCGATGGGACCGCCCATACAGGGAGCAGTAACTCTCCCACCCGCCCTCTGTCCCAGAACACGCTGTCTTGGGACGTCTCATCCTTGTGTGTGAGCACCGGACGGTCGGACTTCGTGTTCTCAGCAGTAAGAGCATCTGCCCTTGGCTTTGCCCACGGCCCAGCCCAGGTTGTGGACATGGCTGTGCTGTACGGCATGGCCTGTCCAGACAGCCTTCTCCCACCGGCGTCTCGCACACCCGTGTTCACAGCCGCTCTCCTCACACTGGCCGCGGTGGAAGCGGCCCAAGTGTCCGTTGACGGAGGAATGGATAAGGAAACGTACACCCATGCACTGTATAGAAAGGAGTGGTGGACTGACACCTTCCACAGGCTGGAGGGACCTTACCAGTGGGCGAAGCCCACCACAAAAGACCACATGTTCTGTGAGTCCACTGAGGACGTGTCCGGGAGAAGTTGGTCCATGCAGATGGGAAGATTAGTGGTTGCGGGGCCTGGGGGGAGCCGCCTCTCATGTCATGTTCTGAAATACCGGCACTGATGACCCCCTGCGTGTGTCTTGACTCTTGTCACTAAGACACCTTTATGTGTTTAAAAATGGCTTTATTTGAGATAGACACCATATAACTCCGCTGTTCTGAAAATACAGTTCACTGATAACTTAGTAGAAGCCCTCACCACAGCCCACTTCAGGGACCTCTCCGTCACCTCGGAGGGGTCCCACCTGCCCATGTGCAGCCGATCCCTGTTCCCTGGCCTTCCGCCCCCACTCGCCACCAAGCTGTTTGTTTTACTTTCCTTGTCCTGGCTGTTCATTCAGCAAGAGAAAGAAAGAGTAGGCTGATGATGGAGTTACCGATCTCAGTTCCAGCGCAGGCCACAGTCTGGGTGTTTCTCTGCAGCTTTGTGGGACGATGGGAGCCTTGGCAGGCGTGCAGACATGCGGGTGCCCCCACGGGTGCTCCTAGCACAAGGAGCCGAGCCACTGCCCCAACAGGCGGTCTGTCTGCCCGCGTACCCGCGGTCGTCCTGCTGGCTCTTTCCTGATTTATCTCCATGCTCATCTGGCCTCGGTGGTCACCCAAGAATCTTGGAGCGAACCCACAGCACCAAGTAATGGGGCCTTTCAGATGCTGGGGGGACTTGCTTGGGGTGTTTGGACACATGTTTTCCTGAAGAAAACCATGTTCGGGTTATTTGTGGCTCCGACCCTGACTTCCAAGCCCCTCAGCCTGGCAGCCTGTCTCCGCAACCGTGTGGTGAGCGCGGTGCTGCCCTTAGGGCCCCAGTGTTAGGCCCACTGAGCCCTGTCTGGTGGGCTGTCTCCTCACAGATAAGGCGCGGTGTGTGCAGAGGTAACAGATGTCCACAGAGGAGGGGAGGAGTGTGGGCTCCTCCTCCGGGGGGGTAGGGGGCCGGCGCTTTTTGGGAGCGTCATTCACACCTGGTGGAATCGTGAGTCCACTGCACGAGCGTTTCCTTGATCTTGGAAGCCCGGGAGCGGGAAGGGCCTCACAGCGATGGGCCCCCTGTCTGTGATGGAAGTAGTTTGAGTGCTTCAGGAGACGGGCAGCCCCCACGTAGCAGAGGTTGGACCCGTGGGGCCTTCCAGCTGGCCGCGTGTGAGCAGGCCCAGAGGCCACGGGCCAGAGTGCTTTCCGCTTCCAGACTCCACCATTCACCAGCGCCTTTTTAGATGGAAACTTTCCCAGCGGTTTTTAAAAAGCAGGTATATGGGGCGCCTTTGGCTCAGGTCACGATCCCAGAGTCCTGGGATCGAGCCCCGCGTCGGGCTCCCTGTTCGGCGGGAAGCCTGCTTCTCCCTCTCCCCCTCCCCCTGCTTGTGTTCCCTCTCTCGCTGTCTCTCTCTCTGTCAAATAAATAAATAAAATCTTTAAAAAATAAAAAAAAATAAAAAGCAGGTATAATCTTGCAGCTGTTTCTTAGTTACCTCTCTAGCCATAGCACTTAAGCTTCCTGATATGTAGGACGTTGCATTAAATGTTTGGCTTCACTCGGAGATCAGAAATCCCAGCGTGGAGCTGCCCCGTGAACAGCAGCGTGCCGAGCCTTAACTGCCCAGAAATCCAGCGTCACAGGCCCTCAGCCGGCTACCGTCCCGCGGGCACCTGGCTCTGCCGGCTCCAGTGTGGCCGCCTGGGGCTGCGCGGGCTCGGCGTGGGCAGCGGGCGCGAGTGCGCGTGTATGTGCGTGCGGGGCGGCCCCTGGCGGACGGAAGGCTGTGTTTTTGTAAAGGCACCGTTTGCGGTGAATTCGAAGAGCCTCGTGGAGTGTGGGCCTGTGTCTGCGGGGAAGAGTTCCTGAAGGACAAGTCCCGTCGGGGTGTGTAGCAGGGTGTCTGCTCTTCAGCAGCTGGTGTGGGGGCGCAGCCACCGTAGGAGATCACGGAGTCACGTCACGGAACGGGGCCCGCCCGGCCCCAAGCACGTCGGCGGTGAAACCGGTGGGAAGCAGCGTCTCGTGGCGGGAACGCGGGTCCCAGCGGCCGGGGCTCCGCGGGCAGTGCTCGGCCGCCCTGCAGAGTGAGGGTCCGCCGACGGCCACTGGATGGAGCTCTGCAAACACGGCCGCTCCGCGGGGCTGGGAAGTAGTTCGAGTGGTGGTCCGTCCGCTAGAGCTCAGCACAGCCGCGCCAGGCTCCGGCGTCCCGGGCGCCGCGGCTTAGGTCCTAGGGTCACCCGGCGTGACCGGCAGAGGGGCCGGAGGAGCCTCTCGTTACGTGGCCTTAAATACCAGGGGCACGGTTGGGGATGCAGTGGGCACTCAGCAAAGCTTTGTCCTCAGGACCCCATCTCACACGCGTACACGGTGGACACAGTAAGGCGCATCGTAAAAGTCTTCAAACTGCGTATTCTTCATTAAGATAAAATGGGTATCTTCAAATTCTTTCGTTCCTAGAAGACTCCGTCACTTCGCAACTTGACTGAGCGCTCACTAGGCGCACGGCAGGCTGACCTCTTGCGGAGGGGTCAGGACCCCCCACAGCTGCCGGAGCCACCAGGACACTCCGCTCTGTCCTCAGCCCCCAGGATGTGGTCGGCCATTTTTAAATTTTTGTTCCCCAGGAAGAGTGACGTTGGCACGAGTTGTAAGGCTGTCTCTGCTCGCCTTGGGGCCCGACCTGTGCGTGGCGCTCGCGGCGCACTCCAACACCGCGCGTGGCCACGACTGGTCGGCTTCCTGTGGTTGTAGCCCTGAGCTACGCAGAACCAGGGAGGTACCGATCTCCTGGTGGTAAGTTCTGTGCCGTTTTCTGATCTACAGCCTATAGCCCTGGAAGTACACATTTTAAGAATTCCAAAATTGGATTATATCAAATAATTTAAATCTTCAAATGTGTGGGTTTTTTCTTTAGCAGGTTTTCCTGCCTTATTTATGTAGAACTTTAGGCCAATGGGTGCATCCACGGGAGCAGATTTAACAGATGAGAAATGAAAAAGCCCCCAATTTTCCAACCGATTTTAAATTCAAGAACTGGGCTTGTAACTTAGAGTCTTAATAGTTTATTCCAGGTTTATATCCTTTATCAAGTGCTTTCTATGAAGGAATGAATGTTTGACTCATTGACATGTCTGCCACAATTAGCGGTACCTCTGGTTTCCTAAGATAAATTCTATAACCTTCATGAAGTTAACCTAAGATTAAACTCACCTTTTGGAATCTTAAACAAGCATGGCAAAATAGATGAGTGTTTGTGGATTAACAAAAATAAGATTAATTTTAAAAGTGTAATCAGGGAGGGGGTATTGGTTAGCCCGGTGACGGGTATTAAGGAGGGCACGTACTGCATGGAGCACTGGGTGTTATACGAAAACAATGGATCGTGGATCACCACATCAAAAACCAATGATGTACTGTATGGCGACTAACATAATATAATAAAATTAAAAAAAAAAAGTGTAATCATCAGGATTTGGTAACAAAATTAATGACCTTGAAACATAAACTTTCACTGGGGGAAGTATAGATTGGTCAATTAAAAAAATATATATATATATAGGATTGAGTTCACAGTCTACTTTAGCTTTTCCAGATAGCTGCTCATTCTCCTCTCAGCTCAAAATTCTTTCCATTTTTTTTTTGGCAACTTGGCAGAGGCGCTGGAAGCTCCCATACCTGGAAGAGAAGGGTCAGGTCACACCAGATTGACCTGAGGTGAATTTAACACAAGAATGTGGATGAACAAATGTGAAATGGAGAGTAGGTTCTGCAGCATGTGGGTTGGTGGCAGAGGTGTTCCCAGCAGGAAGAAGAGCATGGAGGTGAAGACACGTCTGTGAGACCCGGGGATGCTGCGAAAGCAGTGGTGGGGGTCTCCGTTAGAGGTCAGGGTCTGCACGGGAGACCCAGCCTGCCTCGGGCCTGTGCTTCACCAGGAAGAACTGCCAGGCTGCGACGTGCCTCAGGGGCCCTGTGTCACCAGCACACGGGGCCGCTGGGAAGGGGGAGGGACCCCCGGCGGTCACACAGCTGCTGGAGCCGCCAGGACACTCCGTTCTGTCCTCAGCCCTCAGGCCCCTGGACGTCACCAGAAACAAGCTAGTTTGCAACCGGAGCCACTGAGAAATTGAAAACAAATCAGTGATTTTAGGTCCCTCTCCTGTTTGGGGGACCCCAGCTGGGGTGAGACACTCAAGGGCTGTGGGCAGAGACCCATGTACCCCCAGCTCTGTGCTCTTGGGCTTTCCTTTCCTTCTCTCCTAGGAGCTCTTTCTCCCGGAGCAAAGAGCAGAACAGATAAGCAAGGAAAAAGGTCTTTTTATTTGAAACAGGACCTGCCACTACACCAGCCCCCCCGCTGGATCCCGTTTCCGCTAATGCCAGTGCTGGCTTCCTGACCAGGAGCCTGGCTGTGCATGGTGGACGCTGGCGTGGCCCCGCCCGCCCGCCCGCCGGCCGTGACAGAACTGGAGGTGAAGCAGCAGGAGGCGTGTTGCAGGCGAGAGGTTCTGCGGCTGCTGTGCTGGGGCCCATGCAGTCACACGGGTCACTCAGCCAATGCCAGGCTCTCCCAGAGGAGCCCTGGCCTCGGGACTACCCGTCGTGCAGCCCACAGCTCGAGGAGGGTGGAGGGGGTCGGGCCTGAGGCTTTGGGATTTGAAAAGAAACCCCGGTGCATCTGAAGACCTGGAGCAGCAGAGGGGGGACCTCGTCCTTCAGTAGAAATAGCACGTTCCTGACAGAAGCAACCTGGGAACGTCTCTCATTCTGCCCCGGACCTACTGTCAGGGCCCCAGAGAACTGGTCCAGAGTTTCACAGCTACCAGGGGCAAGCAGGACCAGGGCCGTGGCATCCAGTGTACTTTCATGATTCTGCACAGGCAGACTCTTAACTCAGTCACATCATCCTAGAGGGGATACATTCTGCAGATAGAAAAACGCAACTAAGTCATGGGCTCAATTTCCCAAGAGACCAGGACCAAAGAGCGACTTCCCTGCATGGAATGTGGCAGAAAATCGAGCCACACCCTGTTATCCTCAGACCAGATGTGTCAGAACTCAGAAGTTTTCAGGTTGTCGCAAGTTAGTATGTTAATATCTCTCCTACGGGACTAATATCTAAAATACATATAAAGAACTCCTACAACTCAGTAGCAGAACAAAATCCGATTACGACATGGGGAGAAGGTCAGAATAGACATTTCCCCAAAGAGCACACAGATGGCTAACATGTACGGGAAAGGCGCTCTGCACCCCTCACCACCAGGGAGATGCGCATCAGAAGCACAGAGGGAGAGCTCCTCATACCTGTTAGGATGGCCATCATCAAGAAGACGAGATAAGAGCTGGTGAGGATGTGGAGAAAGGGGAACCCTCGTGCACCATTGGTGAGAATGCAGACCAGTGCTGCCACTCAGACAATATAGAGTTTCCTCAAAAGTTAAAAAAAGAGAACTACCCTACGACCTAGTCATCACACTTGTGGTATTTACCCAAAGGATACAAAACCACTAACTGAAAAGACGTCTGCACCCCCGTGTTCACTGCAGCATTATTCTCCATGGCCAAGACATGGAAGCAGCTAAGTGCCCCTCGATGGACGGGTGGACGCGGAAGATGGGGGGGGGGTGTACATACACACAGAGAACATGCACCGTGCAACATCAGCCATAAAAACGAATGAAATCCAGCCATTTTCGACAATACAGAGGGACCAGGAGGGCACTGTGCTGAGGGAAATAAATCAGCCAGAGGAAGACAAATACCATATGATCTCACTTATATGGGGGATCTTTGAAAAAACAACCAAGGTCATAGAAACAACAGATCGGTGGGAGAAATGGGTGAAGGAAGTCAAGAGATAAAAATAAAAAATAAATAAATAAATAGGGCGCATTACTGAGCATCGACCAAAAACAAAGCAGGTGTTTTTTTTTTTTCTGGATGCACAACCCTAAAAGCAGGATGGTGTTACCAAATCACCAATTCAGCCCAAGCTATTCTCTCTCTCATCGTAACACTGCAAGGAAACTTCGGTTGAAATATAAACCACCTTTTAAGGAATGCGCGTGTCTATGGTTCCTTCAGCAAACGACTTCTGTGGGTCTGTCTTCTGCATGTGCGCACGCACACACAGTAACATGCTGTGCGTACTGCACGCTACGGGACAGTGGGCCTGGGGCAGGGCCCCATAGTCACACTCCTCTTTCCTCAGAAAAGTGCCCTCCTACCACTTCAGATCAGGGTTTGCTACCAAACAAATTTGCTGCCAACCTGAAAAATCTTCCTGTTTTTTGAGTTTTGTGGATTTCAGAGTTGGGGTTAGGGGCTGCAGGCCTGGGATGTGTCGTGATGGTGTGGGGGGCAGGGGGCTCCTGTTCCCACAGTTTTAAAGCAGATGTGTATGGGCCCCGGTGTGGAAGGATCCAGGTGCATGCTGCTTCTGGCTGAGCAGGCGGGTCTCGGGCTCCCCGCGGCAGCAGCCGTGGAGCACCTGACAGGTGCAAGGTGGCGGCATCGGCCCCACGCTCCGCCCCTGCGCCAGACGAGGCTCGGTCTTCCAGGCCTGTCTTGCCCCTGGGCAGTCCCTTCCAGCTTCAGCGTTAACCGCCTTTGCCTTCAGTTTGTTTGTATTGTTGAGTTTAGTGCCCACATTGGGGAGTTGACCTATACCGGCCTGATGCCACCTGTGAGGGCGGCCGGGGTACCGGGTGCGTTCGGTGGGCAAGGAGAGAGCTGCGAGCTACTTCACTCTCGGCTAAGACCAGCCACACTGCTGGCTTTTTCCTTCTAAACATCTTCACGCCACCTGTGACACCTCGCCCGCCTCCTCCACGTGACCCTGCAGCCGCCAGGCCCACCCCCACCCACCCTTCCGACGTGGGTGCTCTTTTGTGTTGCTTCCTTCATTTTCATACTGTTGTGACTTTTCTCTCAGATCTCTCTTCTTATAAACAAAAATAAACTAAGAGAGGGAATCAAGAATTTTAACAAGACGAAGTATAAATACTGGCTTTTGATTGTCATCACTTTGTTCCGGGGACCCAGTGTGTTGGAGGCTGAGGGCGTGGACCTGGAGGACTGAGCAGTGCACACGCCTCGGGCAGAAGGGCTGACACAGCTTTCCTTCACACCAGGCCCCTGCTGCTTTGAACAACAGAAAGCTTGGCCAGAACACACCTTGTGCTGTCCTTTATTCTTGCCGCAGTGACCTCCTGGGGAAGACAGTGAAAAGTGCCATGCATCCAATCGAAGTGTCAGGCACCCGTCTCCCGGCAGCGGGGAGTGGACCGTGCCTGTAGGGCGTGCACCCTCGGCCACGTTCCGGGTGAGCGCAAGGTGAGCACTGATGGCGGCCCCAGGACCAGCTCTCTATACCATCACTTGCTGGACCACCACTTGGTCTGGGGAGCAGCTCTGGTGCCCACAGTGCATTTTCTTGATCAGCCGCCGGAGTTTGCTGGGGAAGTTTCTGTTGGTGTAGCGGTAAAGAAGTGGCATCACGGAACTGCTGGAGAAGGCCAGGAATCTCGACAAGTCCTTGGCAAAGAGCAGAATCCCCAGGTGGTGCCCGTCGATGGGCTTCCCCCGCAAGGCAAGCAACGTGTGCCCCAGGAGGGTCAGGTAGTGAGGCGTCCAGAGCCCAAACTGTGTGCACACGGTTGCCACCAGAAGCCGGTGCACCGAGGGGTCCAGCCTCCCCGCATCCTGGTCGAGGGGCGTGTCTTCCTTCCGGATCCTTGAGAGGAGCGCGAGCGCATAGAGCACGGCCAGGGTGGGGACCAGATACCCAATGAACACCATGATGGCGTCAGCAGCCTCTGTGTCCTGCATCTTGGAGCACTCGACGATCCTGGCCGCCACGTGGCTGCAGATGTAGAAGAGCAGGGAGGAGAAGCTGGTGAGCAGGGCCCCGCCCCAGACAAAGCCGCACACGTGCCTGGTGTTGTAGACGCTGGACATGTAGGTGCGCGGCAGAGCCCGCTCGATGTAGTAGTCGAGGCTGAGCAGGGCCGTGGAGTACATGGTCACCAGGGAGGAGACGTTGAACAGCACGAGCAGCGTGATGTGGGCCTCGCTGCTGAAGCCCCACGGGGCCCACCCCGAGGCGGAGGGGCCCAGCAGGTGCACGGGCGCCAGGGCGCTGAGCACCAGGCCTGCCACGGCCATGTTCACGAAGTAGACGTCGGGCATGGTCATGCTGCTCTGGTCGTTCAGGTTGACCAGGACGAGCAGGGCGTTGTAGCCCAGGCCGATGGGGACGCCGACGACCAGGTAGAGCAGAGAGAAGACGGACAGGACCACGTAGAAGTGCTGGCAGAGGAGTTGGTCCTCAAGGCTGCCCGTGCTGTTGAGTGGGCCGCAGCTCCACATGGCGGCGGCGGCGGCGGCGGGCGGGGCTGTGTGGGAGAAAGCAGCGGAAGGTTAGAGCCGGGCCTGCGGACCCCTCCGAAACGCAGACAGAGGTGGCGCAGGGAGAAAGCCTCGCTCCTTAAGCTAGCACAGGACAGTCAGAGACTAAAATCCCGTCCTGGGCACGTGTGTTTCCTGTGGAAGCGAAGGTGCCGTCCCATGGCTGTCCTAAGTCCTGAGCCGGGCCAGCCAGGTCGCGATGCTGCAGTAATCTTCCCGGCCATGGTGAGTCTCCCTAAGCCTGTTTCTGAGAGAAATCCGAGCAATGGATGATTCGCCCAAGATGCTGCTGGGAAGTCGCTCCCAGCCCGCTTCGTGGCTCCTCCTGGGTCCCAGCTTCTCTGCGCCGGGAGGGCCCCCGCTGCAGGACCTCCCCCACCCCACCGTGCCCTCACCACTCCGCCTGGGCTGCGTGGCTTTGAGTCCACGTGACCCCCTCCCGTTCAGCCTCGTCACTGGAAGTGGGTTGCAAAGACAGGTGCCTCTGGGGCCAGTGGCCCGTCCGCCAGGGCGGCACCTACACTGCGCTCGGGGCTGGGATGTGTTCTGACGGGGCCTTCCAGTGACAGGGTGACCCTCCACAGCCACCGAGTGAGAAAAGCAGCCTCTCTGCCGAGCAGGCCACAGCCTTGCCTGGACCCTTCTCGGCATGCATGGGAATTGAGTACCCGCCTTCCACACCCACATCTGCGGTCTGGTGGCCAGAGACCCGTCCTGTCTCTCATGCCACCCAGGCTGCACCGGCAGGCGGCACCGCCAGCCCCGTGAGCAGGCGTGGGTGCACACGTGGGCAGCTGCACAAGCCGGTGTGTGTGACCGAGGCGCACCGTGAGCTGAGCTGGGAGAGCAGGAGGCGCTAAGCCGGGCGGGGGCGGCTGGAAGTGGGGCTGGCTGCCACAGGCTGAGACGCTCGTGCCTTCGTGCCCAGAGAGCCATCGCGGGGTCCCAGGGAGGCCACGTCCACGAGAACCGTCGTGGAGCCTGGGGTTCCCTGGGGGGAGATGCTCCCCGTGGGGGTGGTGGGGAGGAGATCCGCCCCGCCAAGGCGCCCTCACCCAGCCTTGGAGGCAGCGCCCAGGCGGAGTGCAACCCGGTGGCCTGCGTTCTAGCGCTTGGGAGGCCTGGTTACACAGCTGGCCGAGAGAACCCACAATGTGAGGAAAGAACACTCTTCAGCAATGTCAGTTCTCTGGAGGAAAACCTTAGTTTCCAAACTGGAGTTTGGTCCAACCTGATCTCCTGCTCTCAGGACAAGAAATCCTCTTGGGCAAGCACATACAAAGCAAACATTTGTTTCCCAAGCTTAGGGACAGGGATCAGCCAGCCCTGCTGCCCATGGAGGGGCTCGGGGGCCAGGCCCTGCCCACACCAGCTGCAGGCCGGAGCATGGCGTGGGTGTGAGGGGTGACATGGGGAAAGGACTCTGTGACCAGAGACCTTTACCCAATGGTCTGCCTCGCCCTGCCCCACCCGGGCCAGTGGGGCGATGGGGGGTTAACAGTGAAGGAAATGGAGGCCGGGGGTCCCCACAACAGGAGCGTGTCTGCATCGGAGTCCCCCAGCATCAGACCCCGGTGGGCAGGAGACTGTGCAGACGTCAGGGACATCAGTCAGTGGGAACGTTTTGCAGTCCTCACGAATGCCACCCAGCAGCCTGTGATGGATGATGTGTGTCAGACGGTAGTGATACTCAGGGTCAGGCTGGACACAGGGCTGGCCGGGCTCTGCCCACACGTGCTGGTTACATCACTTTTAGAAGTGTTTACTGTTACCCACTGCATGGGCTACGTCCTAAAATCTAGACAGTGCTCCTCAGCCTCTGGCCCTGGTGGATGCTCTGCACCCCAGGGGGCTGGATGCTGGGGGAGAAGATGGGAGCCCCAGGGCAGGTGGCGCGCTCCTAGAACACCATGCATCCCACAGCCGAGGCACTGGGTCTCGCAGGGGCTGGGGAGGGGTCCCTTTCATGTCATCTTTAGCTGATTACATGGCCGGTTTCCACTCTCCTTCTCCTTCCCGAATGCCTCCAGAGCTGGCTGTGGATCTTTCAGTGTGGCCTCCTCTCTGTCCTGAGGCTCCTCCATGCTGAACCGTGGCTCCGACAGTAACCGGGGGGGGGGGGGTACAGTGAGCAGAGGAGGCTGCGGGGAGCTTGTCTGCCAGACTTCACTGGCCTCGAGTCCCCAGGAAACTACATTCTTGTGGCCACTGTGGACATCTTCCATCCCAGAGCATCCGTCCGTGCTGTGACCAGCTGGGCGCACGTCCTGTCCAAGGACCCATAGGGTCTGCCTGAGATGTCCGCCTGCTCTCGTGTCCAAGCCACTTTCCTCATGAGAGGACAGAGACGTGCCCCAGAAGAGAAAGGCCCTGCGCCATCATTAGGACAGGCACTGGCTCTGGCTCAAGTGGGGTGCTTGCCAGCAGGAAAGGCCGGGATCCGAGGACCCGCACTCCTGGTCCTCCTCAGACCTGCCCTGTCGCTTCCCTCCTACCGCAGGTCTGTGCGGGGCGCTCAGCGTTCCCTGCCGCCGCCCGTCCCTAGCGGCGCCCCAGAGTGGCCGCAGCCGGGCCCGCGCCTCAGGTGCTTACCCTTGTCCTGACCCCACATGTCTCTGCGCCTGGACCGCAGACCCGTGTGTGAGCGACTGGGAGCACAGACACCAGAGAGGATCCCGTGTTTCTCTGCAGACACCCCCCGTCCCCGGCCCGGGCGCTTACCGGCGGCAGCCTCCCGGCGCTGGCTTCCTGTGCGGTGCGTGTGTGTATTTCGCGCCCGGCCGGCAGGCACACTGCTCGTTTCCCCCAGCGAATCGCTCCGCGTTGCCTCCCTTGGCGGGCACGGCGGCCCCTCCCTACCTCTGTTTACACCAGCTCCACGGAACGGGGCTTGTGCCTGGATGTGCAGCCTCGGGCCGGGTCCCGCCCGCTCGCGCCGGCTTCCTTCCCCTCTGCACCCCGGCCTGCGCCGAGCTGAGCGTCGGGGCAGGTGCGACAAGGCCTGCCCAGAGCCCACGTGGCCGTTCCTGACACCGGGGCGTGGGGCCCTGATGAGTTCCTTTTTTCTCTCGAGCCAGGAAACTGAGAGGCAGCTTGAACCATAGGCTGCACCGAGTCTGCACGGAGACGGGCACCGAGGGCTCTTGGAAGGGGCGGCCGTGGCTGAGGACAGGCTCAGGACTGGCAGGAAGAAGGGCGGGTGTCTTCCCCGTACCGCTGGGGCGCACAGAGCTGCCGGCCGTGTCCCCCCAGCCAGGGGCTGCCCACGGCTGCCCCGTGGGGCCGCAGGGAAGGGCAGCTGGTGAGCGGCGCGCTGGGCCCAGAGTGGCTCCGTTCTTGGGAAATGGTCACGTGGCGCACAGTCTGTTTAGAATTTCCCCGTTCTCGTGCTTGTGTGGCCCTGGCTCACGCGTCGGAGAGGGTCCGTACGTGTGGAGAGCGGGCGGGGGCCGCCGGTGCGGGTCTTCAGTGGAAGTAGGCCTGAGTTTCTGCTTGCTGACAGCCAGTAAATACAGCATCATCCACTTCATTTCAAGAGCAGGAGTTCGCGTCTGTGCACAGCTCTCGTGCGCATCGAGTCTGAGGATGCCAGCTGCTGGCTTTCTGTCAGCCTGACGATGACAAGCTTTGCTCTTTTGTCCCAGCATTCTTCTGGGGAAGCCAGCGCCGAGGAGCCACTTTGTTTTATAAACACGGGCATGCGGTATTTGCCAAAGCAGGAGCGTTCATTCCCGCCTGGGAGGAGGGGGCTGAGAGGCAGGGGAGGGAAGGGAACACCTGGGGGAGGCAGGGGCCAGGTGCAAGGGTGAGGCCACCGTCGCTGAGGCCACTGGACGGCCACGTGCCCGCCTCAAGACGGGCTCGCCCACGCCCTGTGCAAACCGAACGTGGGTCCCTGTGAGCACTGGTGGTGGAGCCCGCTGCGCCCGGGGCTGTGGGCACATGGCACAGGGGGGCGGGAAGCAGCTGGAGGTGCTCAGGAGGCCCAGGGACAGCGACTGCACCCCCAGAACAGCCACGTGTCAGCGGGTCTGGTGAGGGAGTGAACGGTGGTCCTGTCTAACCCTAGTCACAGGCGCTTGGTGAAGCATGCGCGGGTCTCGCAGCTGAGGGCTCTCATCGGAGCTGACGTTCCAAAGGACACAAGCGGGGGGGCGGGGGAGGGGCACCATCCTGTCCAGGCCGGGGCTGCTGCCTGTCATTCTGCACCTGGGAGCTAGGCGGATGCCCCCGAGCCCCCAAGCCTGCCCTTCCGGCCACAGAGGCCCTCTGGTGGGGGCTGGCCCTGGCCTGCCTTTCTCTGGTTCCCATTTCCTCGTGGTGATCCACTTCCCTTTTGCACACTCTGGTTTTTGCAAGTCCAGGAACCTGGGAACAGAAACTTCCCTTCAGGCCTTCTGGGGAGGAGGTGGACCTGGGAACAATGGTTTGGCTCCCGCCCTCCTGCCCAGGCCTCAGACCACCTTTCCAGCTCCTGAGAAAGAGGAACTTGGAGCGCAGCCGGGGGGAGGCGGGCCGTTCCAGGAAGGCTGTCTCTGCAGGGGCACGCTGGGCTCAGTGCACTCCGCGGTGCCCAGCGCTCCCTACTCCACCCCTTCTCATCTGGAAATCTGCCACATTCTTCCCGGACGGCAGGATGGATAATCTAACTTTCAGGGTCAGTGAGGACCCCGGTGGGCTTCTCGTCCAGGCTGGCCTTACAAGCAGGCCGGGCCTGTCTCCACACCTCCTCCCTAGGACCCCCGGGCCACTCCTTGCCGGAGCTCCCTGCTGCCTCCCTGGCTCCCGGGCCTGCCTCCTCTTCCACGCACCCTCGAGTCTTTTCTAGAAGGGTCTGTTGGCAGAGCCGCCTGGCCTGCTCTGCCCTTCCTGCCCCTCACCAGCTCCCTCAGTGCTGCCCCTCTGCCCTCCTCTACTGGGCCTGCCTCCGGCCTCCTGGAGCCAGACTTACTGCTGTCGCCTCTCCCACCCCCAGAGCCTCCCCCAAGGTCCACGCACGTCCCGTGTCAGCACCCACAGCAATGGCTGTGCCCACAGCTCTGCAGCAGACAAGGCACCGGCAATGGGGCCAAGCTCCCGTCCTCCCGCCTCACCTCCACGACTGCACTCGGGGCCCCCATGGATTCCCACCCCTGCCAGCCCGGCGTCTCGCCTCAGCTGGGTGCTGCTTCTGTCCCTGAGCCTCTCCCTGGCTGGGGGCCCGGCCTGCTCCTGGAGGGGCCCCTCACAACCTGAACGTCTTCCCAGAGCACTGTCCTCTCCGCCCCAGATCTCCGAGGGGAGAGGTGACCCACTCACCCTCTCGGCCCCCGCCGACACAGGTCCGTGGTGGCTTCCGTGCGTGTGCTGTGTGTTCCCCCGCGAGCCAGGACTGCCCATCAGCCAAGGTGCACGCAGCGAGGGCGCCCCGGCACGCGCAGGTGTCCTGGTGCCCGCGTCCGCGGGAACGGCAGCTGCAGGACTGCTGGGCCCCCGTGTGTGCGGCCGGACGTGGGCCTCTGTGGTGACAGAGGAGCAGCCCAGCCCCGGGCTGGTGGGAGGGGCTGCAGGAGGGCCGCGCGCAGTCAGGCTGGCCTGTTCCTCGCGGGCAAGAAAAGGGAGGCAGCTCTCCGGGCCAGAGACCTCGCACCTGCTTGGGGTTGTCCGAGATGGAGCCCACTGTAACTTTCTTCTGGCTTTTTCTATAAAGGTGACTCACGTACCCTCCCTCTCTGAGGGTTTTGTGTGTGTTTGTTTTGTTTTCTAATTGCAGTCAGAAAGAAGAAAGCCTCCACATCAGGAGGACGGGGCGGTCTTTCAAGTGCCTGCTCCCGTTCCTGGTCCTGTTCCCATGGGATGGAGAGGCCAGTACGGCTTGGGGGTAGCACAGTTCCAGGCCTGTGGGCTGGCGGGCGCCCGAGAGGAGAGCAGATGAGCAGCCAGCCTGGTGGTAGCAGGGAGTAGCTGGCCCACAGAAGGGTGCTGGGCCCCACGCCAGGTCAGGGCGCACAGCGGGGCTGGCCCGAGGAATGGCAGCCCCAAGCTCCCCGCCCGGGGCGAGCCCACAGCCGACTCGGGTCGTCACTGTGTATGTGTCCGCAGCTGTGCAGGGCCCCTCTCCTCGACATTGGCTGCGCGCACATCCCAGAGAGGGCAGCCTCCAGACAGGCCAGACGTTTCCCTCCAGAAGAGCCTGAGAGGACCCAAAAGCTGAGCTGACATCCCACGCATGAGGCTGGCTGTGCGGTGGGAAGCCTTTAGAGGGAGCAAAGCTGTGGTCGTTTCTTCTCCAGTGTGGAGGGGTCACCTCTTGGGCCCCAGAAACCCTACCCTTCAGAGGAGAGCGAGGCTGAGGTTCGCAAGGACAGAGTCTCGTGGTCAAAGCTGGATCCATCTGTGGACTTGGTGTCGTTGCGCTGCCGTCCGGGCCTCTGCTGCCTCGTGAGGTACCCTGAGGCCAGCCTGTCAGAAGGGCATGGTACAGTAGCTGCCTCCCACGGGGCAGGGAAGACCCAGTGAGTGCCGGCCGAGGACAGAGCGAGAGACCGGTGGACGTGCAGGACGTGTCTGAGTGTCCGCTGGGAGGCCCCTAGGGGCTGGAGCCCTTTTGGGTTCTCTGCCCCATCCCAGTTTCTAGGGACTTAGCGGTTTCTAGGCACTCTCCCTCCCTTTGTCCCCAGCTGTGTGTCCTCAGCCGGGTGACCGTCAGTCATTGCAAATGCTCTTATGCATAAAAGAAAAGCCATTTTCTTCCAAGATCTCCTCTGGGCTTTAATAATTAAATTTCAAGAAGATGCTTTCCTAGACTTGCCAATTTCCAACCCTTGGAGACCTCTTGGCCGCCTCCCAGTCGTGTCGTACTCCGCTTGAGCTGTGTCGGGAGGCTCTTGGGCAGGGTTATGGGCTCAGCCCGTGAGTGTGGAAGGGCTCTCTGCCGCAGGCTGGGGGCATGGAGCAGTCGGAGAAGGCTGAGAGAAGGGAACCCACAGCTGTCTGACCCGCAGACCCGTGGGCCTGATGGAGGAGGACGTCTGGTGCCCGCGGGTCTGGCCTGAGCACCCCTCTGGGCAGCTCTCCTTGCTAGCTTGGAAAACCGAGGAAGCACCATCTGCTCTGGGCCCTGAGCTAGTACTTTGGGGATCTCCGGTTTCTTCCTTATTGGTAGCGGCGAGCGCCCGAGATGCCAGCTCTGAAGGAGTCACGCAGACAGCCTTGAGGCCCTGCTGCAAGAGCAGGCGCAGGCCTGGTCCCCGGTGGCTGACCAGTGGCCAGCACACGGGCAGAGAGGGCCCTGCAGGCCACGGGTTTGGAGGGGAGGCCTGTGTGTGGGAGGCCAGGCCACAGGGAAGATGAGCTGACAGGAAAGCTGGGAACAGAGACAGGCCACACCTCTGCTCAGCCTGAGGGGCCCTGAAAAACCAGGAGGGGCCAGTGTCCCAAGCGGCAGGGGTGGTGCCCGCGCTAGGAGCTGCCAGGCCTGGGTGATGGAGGGGGACAGACGGGGACAGGTGCACAGCGGGGCCTCGGGGCCTCCTGGGACACCAGGCCTAGGCGGCTTTCCTACTTTGAGGAAGCGGCTCTGAGTTCAGGCACTGCCTTGAACGCCGGCCTGCCTCATTCTACCCTACGCGGGGGAGCCCTGAAACAGGACCTCCGCAGTGAAGGTGGCCGCTCACACGGACACTCCCGCCTTGCCGAGGGAGTGGGGCTAGCAGCCTGTGAACTGGCGCAACACACTGTCAGGAGAGGTGCACGTGCCCCGAATTTTGGGGAGTGTCCACCTCGTCGAGGATTCCGTCTCGGGAGCCCGCTGCTGGGACTGGAGCCCAGGCTCACTGCTTACCCACCGGGGGGCGCTGGTTAGGCAGGTAACGTACTACCTCAGTTTCCCCAGCTTAGGAGACTCTCCTGTGACTGCTGGGGGATTAGGTGGATCCAGCCGTGTGGAGCACGGCAGGGTGAGCCTCAGCAAGTCCCTGGTGGGTGGGCGAGGAGGGTGCACGCACAGAATCTGCCACCTGACACACGGGAAGAGGAGACTGACAGGAAGGGAGGTATGGGGACGTGAGCACCAGACACAAGCCTAGTGCCAGTTGTCGGGGGGGGGGGCGTTCAGGGACGGTGGGGAGAGGAGCAAGCTCCAGACACCCGCCACACGCACGGACCATCCCCATCACAGAGGCTTCCTGAAGCTTAAAGGCTTTGTGGTCTGGGTTAGGGCTTTGGTAACAACAAGCAGTGCATTTCCTGGTGCCGCGCTCACGTTACACTGGGGCATGAATGTGTGCGTCCCTCGCCTGTGTTCACAGCATGCAGAGAAGGGGGCTGGGGGAGAGAGCAGCTCTGGGCCCGTTCTTTTCCCGTCCTAACGCGGGAGGATTCGGGGAGTCCTCTCTGCAGCAACACCCCCTCCTCTTCCCCGCTGGGAAGGCCCACACTCCAGTTAGGCTGCCTGTTAGAAGCATTTTGAGGGAGGACATCGGTGGCTTGCTTTCTGTGCCTTTTCAAAAAAGAGCCCAAAATGGTATAAACCAGCCTATTAAAAGTGCATGTTTTTAAGCAATGAAAATGAACTTTGCTAAAATCCAGGGCTAAAGTAAATAGCAGTCTCTGTGCAAACAGGATGCCCGGAGTGGGTCACAGCAGCAGTCTGGGCGGGGGCTGTGCAGACACGGGAGCAGGCTGCCGCTGGGGTGGGCAGGGGTCACGCCTCCTAGGAGTCCTGCGTGTGCACAGGCGTGTCCACGCACAGAGCCCACAGAGATGAAAGACCAGCAAAGAGGAATCAGCCTGTTCCAGGGTAGCTGAGCTGGTTTCACTAAAACATTACCCTTATTTCCTTGCTCTGTTAATCAGGAAATCCTGTCCTCTGGTGTTGGGGGCCCACTGGTGCTGGGCCTCCTGCCCGACACCCCCCCCCCCCACCGCCCACACTGGGGCAGGGCGGGGTGCACACACTGATCCCTTGCCTAGACTGCCTTTCCTCGATTCCTCCCATTCACTTGACAAGTGCTAACTCACCCCTGAAGTTTTATTTCGGCATCAGCATCCTGAGGAGCCCTCCCTGACCGCTGTCCCCACCCCCCTCCAGCCAGCCCTGCCGCAGCCCTCTCTTTGCCACCTGCTGAGAGCTTTCTGAATGGGGGGAGAGGGCTCTTGATTCCTGCCAGAAGCCTGGATGGCTCTGGGGAGGAGGATCATTAGGTCATATCAGAGGCTCTTCCCCAAGGTGAGCAACAGACCCCACGCAGCAGAAGGGGTAGCAGAGAGAGTGGGAGCGCCTCTTATCGCCGGGAGATCTGGGTGTGGGTATGGGGCTATGGGGCCCAGGCAGTACACCCTGAGTAGGCAGACAGCTCAGCCTGGCTGATGGTCTTGTGGGTTGTTTCTGTTTGATGTAGACCCGCTGTGCACCATGAGACCCAACTTCAGATGAATGTTCTAGAACAATCAGCTTTGAAAATGACTCCTGAATGTTTATTTCCTTTTGTAATAATGGGCAGAGGCTTTAGCTACAATTAACATCCAGCTGGTAGGAGCCAGACACTCCGGAAAGGCTGGTGTTTTCATGGGTTTTTCAATGTAGAGAGCTTACGCATACTGATTCCTATCACAAATGCTGTGCCTTCCTGGGGTGTGATAAGAAACTGTTCGTTATATAGATGGGTTGGTTTGATTTTTATAGGCTTTTGCTTTTTACGGTTCTAAATTGCAGAGTAGTGAGTGAACCAGGCAACCTGGCTCAGACGCATAAACAAAGAGCAGCCTCTCTTTCTCCGTGGAAGAGAACAGGCATGTTTGCTGGCTCAGGAAGGGCTGCAGGGGACTGAGACCAAGTAGCCAGGTCCAGGCCGGCGGGGCGCCTGCGCCAGGCTTCCTTCCCTGGAAGGAGACATGGGACACACGTTCTTTTGTCAATGCAGCACTAGTTTCTTGGGCTTTTCTGTTCCCAGACTAACTTGGTTTGAGGCTAGTGCTCCTTCCAGGCCAGGGGAAAACAGAAACTAAAAGACTGACTCAGAAATTCAAGGGGCTGAGAATAGATCAGGTCTCCATTTCAGACTCTGGGCAGGCCTGGCACCCCAGCCGGGCTCCCTGATCTCCCCACAGCCTTTAACTGGGTGTGCTCTTACCTGGGGTGGGGGGGGCGGCGGTGCTCAGAGCCACTCATCTTATCAGCGCCTGTGGCTCTTTCCCAGGGAGGAACCGCTGGTTATTTTTACTCATCACAGTTGCTTCCTCAGTTTGCTGGGTTCCAGTTAAAACTGGGAAGCTCCTGAGCACACCCCCACTGGCATGTATGGGAGGAAAGGGACCCAGGGTGGGCCTGTTGGGGGACGCACAGGACACCTGGCCCATCTCACCCTGTCCTGCGATGTGAGGGATGTTGTGTTTGCACATGGAGGCTCCCAGGGGACTGAACTCTGTTCCCCGACACCGTGATATTTTGG